GAGAGAGAGAGAGTATGAATATTCCCTTTTCAAGCCAAGGATACCTGTGTCTACGTGCTGTATAAGAGTGTGTGTGTGTGTGGTGTTGTGTGTGTGTGTGTGGTGTGTGTGTGTGTGTGTGTGTGTGTGTGTGTGTGTTTTTTCACAGAGGGAAATTAGTTGGTTAGTAAATTAAATATATTTACGGACACTTTCGGAAACTATGACATTTCTGTGTACTTCTGTTTATTGACATATTTAAATAATTAAAAACAATAAATGACAGCGACCTGTGGAAATCTCCCTATTGTGCTTTTCTGACCTCCATTGACATCACTACGTAACACTCGCGCTCCTATTGGCTAGCGTTCTAGTACCTGATAGGCTAACGTAACGTCCACACGGTTACGTTGCGTGCTTCAACGGAGACGCTTCCCATTCCCTTTGAATGGGGTGACGTCAAGCTTTGCCGAACTGCATTGTGGTTCCGTGGCTTTGCCCCTGAGAGTTGAGAAAAGTTCAACTTTTCAAGCGTCGACGGAAGCGCCAGCCAATCAAATCATATGCCAGTACAAGCTCTAGCCAATCAAACCGCGTGCTTGTGTGTCCGGGGCGGGAGATTAATGTGATTGGTTGTTGGTCGCGCAACAGACACGCCCACCGGCAAGCTTCAACGCGACGGAACGAAGTGGACGTACCGTAAGGGGCGGGACATCTCTAAGCTGTCGACCAATCACAACAGAGCAGATCTGTTCTTACTGAGGAAATCATTTTAAACTAGGAATAATGTGTGTGTGTGTGTGTGTGTGTGTGTGTGTGTCAGTGTGTGTGTGTGTGTGTACCTTCAGCAGGTCTCTGGGGAAGTCCTTCCCCTCGTTGAGCCCCTCCAGGTTGTTGATGAACTGACTGCACGACATCCTCTTCCCCACGTTCTGAGAGAGACCATCAGTTACACTTTAGATACAGAGCGATGACATCACTACACTTTAGATACAGAGCGATGACATCACTACACTTCAGATACAGAGCGATGACATCACTACACTTCAGATACAGAGCGATGACATCACTACACTTCAGATACAGAGCGATGACATCACTACACTTTAGATACAGAGCGATGACATCACTACACTTTAGATACAGAGCGATGACATCACTACACTTTAGATACAGAGCGATGACATCACTACACTTCAGATACAGAGCGATGACATCACTACACTTTAGATACAGAGCGATGACATCACTACACTTCAGATACAGAGCGATGACATCACTACACTTCAGATACAGAGCGATGACATCACTACACTTCAGATACAGAGCGATGACATCACTACACTTTAGATACAGAGCAATGACATCACTACACTTCAGATACAGAGCGATGACATCACTACACTTCAGATACAGAGCGATGACATCACTACACTTCAGATACAGAGCGATGACATCACTACACTTCAGATACAGAGCAATGACATCACTACACTTCAGATACAGAGCGATGACATCACTACACTTCAGATACAGAGCAATGACATCACTACACTTCAGATACAGAGAAATGACATCACTACACTTTAGATACAGAGCAATGACATCACTACACTTTAGATACAGAGAAATGACATCACTACACTTATACTGTGTGTACTAATACTCTGTGTACTAATACTGCACTATTTCCTGTGCTGTGTGTACTCGTACTGTGTGTAATAACACTGTGTGTACTCATACTGCAGTATTTCCTGTTGACTCCCAGCAGATGGCGTTTCTGCGTCGTCATGGTAACGCTCAGTTTGTGA